ACTTTTTCACTCACATGACATTAATATGAGCATGTCTTGTGAAGCAAGAGCATTTAAGTTTAAGATGTCAAAATGAAAATCATAGTTTTAAAAATTAATTTGGATTAATTGTTGTTGAGATTTCTATTGAAATTAATTTTTATTTTTGTTATAAATCATTTTAATTTTAACAATAGACTCAAACATGGTAAGTATATCAGTCGTACAAGTAGTAAATTTAAATCGTATCCACAAGAACTAGTTATAAAATAAGCATTAAATGACTATTCGTGACTAAAGAATAATTCCAAGTTTTTTCATAGATTGTATTGCAATTGAAATAAAGGTTATGATTTGTTGAAATTTTAAGTCTATGAAACTATTTGTGTGTGTGTGGAAAGGATAGAAAATGATATTGTGAATTTGTGAGATTGTAGAGTTAGATATCACCGAACTTCACTCTGATGGATCATTGTTCTCTTATTGTATTCATTGCCTAGTCAACTCATAAGTCTACTCAAATTTAATCCCTTAGAGCAAGAGCCTAGGTGCATATATTGAATATCAATTCCTTGAGTATTCAATATATATACTTGCATTACGGGTTATGGTTTAAGACTACTAATGTGCTCCATTGCTAGATACATTTCTCACTAGGTATTTTGTTTCAGAGCTAGTTTCAAAGGCTATTTTCCAATACCCAATGGACTCTATATCAAGCAAAGAAGAATCAACCCAAAGAAAACATTAATAATAGAAACATAACACAACAATGAATGAAACAAACATATTATCGTTGATAAGGTGAAGATTACACAAGATTTAAGTTGATTACATCTAACCCCACAAAATATTGGGTAGAACCGCTCAAAAAAATGAGGGTAAAACAAAAATAGAGATGGAAGAAAAGATGGAAGAACCGAAGGAAAGACCCACACACAGCACGGTCCCAAGCACCGGGAATCACTTTCACAACTCCTAGAAGTCACCCTATGTGTGAATGAGGAAGGAAGCCTCGAAGATTTAATCAAATACGAGCTGGGTGAGTCAAGATAGGGTTTACATGCCCGACGCAAGGTCTTCCAGAGAGGTAATTACTCTTTGTCTCAAGGCACGCCTGACGCGAATACTCTTGTGCCCAACGTGATGTCTTCTAGAGAGTTTAGATGCTCTCTGTCTCGAGGCAGGCCTGGCACGGAGACTCTAGCACTCGGCGTAGTGCTGAGTTACAGAGTGTGTTGCTCTCTGTCTTGAGCAAGCCTGACGCAAGTACTCTTGCGCTTGGCGTGATATTACTTCTCCTGCTCCTTAGCTCTTTTACTTTCCAATCCAATGAGTCTTCAATCTCAACTCTTCAACTTAATACCTGCACAAAAAATGAAGTGTATCAGGGTATTGCCAGATGATTTTTGGGTTAGCTATATATGCACAAAATTGAATCAAAAGAGAACAATTATATTGTAATAGTGCATAGGGTGAGTAGAATTGTTTAATATTTCCTATCTAAAAATAAGTATAAATGAGACTTAACAATTTCCTAACACATATACTATATTTAAGATTTCATATTAAAAAAATGCAAGATTTCCAAAAAAATAATAGATTTTTTTAGTGTCATGGAAATTGAATCCTATTGTGCACCCAGGGTTCACATACACATGTTTTTACATTAGTATGATATTGTTCACTTTGAGTTTAAAACTTTCATGGTTCTATTTTTAGCCATCTCCCAAAAAGTTTCATATTAATGGAGATTATGTATGTTTTATAAACTTTTTTTTTCTCATGATCTAATAATATGGAACTTTGTTTGTACCCCGAACAAACCTCCCCTTAAATAAAGGATCATAGTTTAACCTCCCCTTCAATGAAAATCTTTTTATCATCTATAAGTATTCAATAGTGGTTCTTAGAGCTTTTTAATCACACCTACCAGTTCTAGATACTTGCATTAATGTTAGCTCACGTCAACAGGACACATTATTTAACCTCCACACTGCTAGGAAGACGAGATCCCACACTTGAATCAACCACCTCTCATTATCAAATATTCATCTAAGATTCAAATACCATTGTTCAACACTTGAGATTCACACACACATATCTTCAAATTGGTATAATATTGTCTTCTTTAAACATAAACTCTTATAATTTTATTTTTTATCATCTTTCAAAGAGTTGCATACCAACAAAAATTATATATACTTTTATAAATCTTTATTTCTTCTCAATATGAAACTTTGTTATTTAAGAAGGTAGTGACCGCTGAATTAGCATATTTTTGTTAATACTTATTTGACTTAAATAATTTATACATATATTAATTTTAATTAATATATTTAATCACATATTAATTCATACATTTCAACAAGTAACTTATTAGTCCAACAATTTAACTGGGTCGATTACCAACCTGAACATTAAAATACTACTCAAAATCCTGCACGAC